GGTGAGAGAATCTGCCCAGTTTATTGTCCTTGCCAGAGAGATCACACCTGTTACAGAAGTTTTACTGTCAATCAGGAGGGAGGATGACTCAGAATCAGATGAATGAAGCACCTGGAGCATATCTCTAAGCATAAAAAGACAGGAGATATAAGGAAATCATCCCATTTATTACAAAACTGGGATAGTAGTTCCTTGTTTTTATTGGTAGTTCATTAATGATGCTTACAATACAAATGAGAAAGAAAAAACTTAAGCTTCCTAAAGTTTGTGAATGATTAAAAGACAAAATATAAAAATTTTGTTTGATCTTGTATTGATTAACAATGTTAACATTATAGGAAGAATACAAGCTTTAGAGTGAGGCAGATCAGGGTTTGAATTCTGACTCTGACTAGCTGTGTAAATGTGGTCAATTCTTAACTTACTAGATTTTTAGTTTCCTCATCTGAAGAGTACAACCAATCTGTAGGACTGTCATAAGGATTTGAGATAAATATTTGGGATGTGCCTTACACAGAGTAGATGATCATTAAACAGTTATTACAGTATTAAAGAAAACTAATGCCTAGAGAACTGATGTGGGTATACACTCTGCCTGGCTGAACTGAGGATTAAAGCATAGGTCTCAATATCAATAACCAATGTCTCCAATCTCATTTACATGTGAAATAACTATTAACAGCTTGTACACTATGTCCCACCCCCACTCCACTCTGCAACACTTGGAAGGACAGAAAGAGACAGCAATGAAAAACCAAATATTCCCTTAAAATAAACTACTGCATATAGAGATAACAACTTGGTGAGCCAAATAGAATTGCTTGAAGAGTTTTATGTCATCTACAGTGAGGGGAAGAACAGTACCACCATTTATTCATTTAATCCTGTTTTGTCTGCACACTATCATAGCATTTCAAAGTAACATATTATTTATTGCTATTAAGGTGTTATGGATTTATTTGCTTTTCTAGGTGAAAGCTCCTCTGCATTCACCAGAATGTAGCAGGCTACTTTAAAGTTCCAGGGCCATAAATCTTGTCCAATGCAATAAGATCACTTTAATAATATGCTAATCTTGGAATGCAGTTATAGATAGATGGCCACTAAGTGCTACTTACAAACAAAAATGGCTCTTCTGTAATCTTAAAGATATAAAAAAACTTAGGACCTGAAAATGTGTTTAAAAATTTCCCATATTCTGCCAGTCTATTTTACATACCTGAGAATTTTTTTAGGAATCTGTGGAGAAGAATGACTCCTTTTCTTCTCTAGGTCCTGTAGTAAACCATCCTCTGTTCCACCCTTCTCCATGATTGTTGACTGGTCTGCCCTGGCCTTGCTCTGATCCACACTGAGGTGGCCTTGGGCAGGGTCGCACCTGTACATGAAGATGATGGCTGGCTTCTCACTGGATTCTCCTTTTGCCTCTGTGAACCAGTGATGGCGCTGAACTGGAGGAGGGGGCAGCATGTGGATGACTGTGCCATCCAGGCCCACCAGTTTCCCTTTCTCTCGGTCTTTCTCTTTATCATCCTCCTCATCTGTTTTCCGACGGCGGAAGAAGCTTTTAAATGATATCCAGCGTTTAGGTTTTGCATCAGCTGCCCGCCTGCTGCTTTCAGAGTGCAAAACTGATTCGGCTTCTGTTGACCTGGTAGAGCTGGCTGGCTTTGTCCAGTTGGTGAAATGCTTCTGCAAAAGGTTACTTGCATGGTAAGGGGAGGAAGTAGAGCGTGGTGGGGGAAAAGGAGGTGGTAGCTCACCTTGGGGATTAGTCACTAATTTGGAGGGAGGGGTGGTGACTGGCTTTGCCAGAGGATCTTTCTGTACTTTGGTGGTAAGATTTTCTGTGGTCTGAGGTGCTTCAGCCTCACTACTGGGCTGAGACGTAAAGAGAGATTTGGGCCGGACTGGTGTACTCTTAGCAGCATCAACATCTGGGGGAACTGCATATAGCTCTTCCACACTGCAAGCTTTAGGGCCAGACTGGGGCATTTCTGGAGGAGACTGTGGGGGTTGGATAGAAGCCACAATCTGAGAAAGCACTGTACTTGCTTTCTCCCTGGTGCTGCTGCCACTGCCCGCTATCTGAGACTCCTGAGTGCCTTCTATTTTGGCAACAGGTTCTTGAGTGGTTCTCTGGATCTTTGTTGGGGAGTTGTGGCTGGAACTATAGCTTCTCTGTGGTGAAGACTGACCTCTGTTAAGACAGCTGTTAAATTCCTGGACCTTCTGAGCCACTGAGCCCCTTTTACGCTCTGTGCTGTTTGAAAACCCTTTAGCTTGGGGGCATTCAGTGGGTTTGCTAGTGGTGTCATCAGACACTTTGCTTGCAGTTTCTATTTCTTCGTAAGTATGGCTTATTATACTTGTGGTTTTTTCCTTCACTGAAAGTTCTCCACTTGTTCCGAGAAAACTTTTATAAATGGCTAGATTGTCATATGCATTTGGATTGATTACAATAGGAACCTTGACAGCATTTTTGGAACTCCGAGCATAAGCCGGCTCATCATGAATGATTATTGGAAAAGGTGGCATACCAGCATTGTTATAACTATTAAATTTTATTTCAGACAGATTAGGTGACTTAACAGGGATGGTTCTGGAGGAAATGTTTGTAGCTATAGGTGAAGTAGGTGCTGATTTGTGACAGTTTTTCCTTGGAGGGACATTTGGTCCAGTTCCACTACTAATTAATTCTACCTTAGGGATCTTTTGTCGTGGACTAGTACTGGAAGTCCAAACTTCCTGGTATCGAATTGCACTGGATTTCTGGGAATGGGCACTTATGAGTCCTGATGTCAATGCAGGTGATGTTACTGGAGAGTTTGGAGTAGAAGATGAGCTTTTTGTCTTGGGGCTATTAACAGGGCCCTCCAGGTGCTCACTGGCCATGGCTGCGGACACGTCCACGACAGTATATGGCTTGCACAATGGCTGTTCAAGATTCACAACACGGTAGGGCTTCGCTTGTTCTTCTACAGGAATGAGGTTTATGGTTACTGCTTGCCCAGCAATATCCGTAGAGGCTTTACTTTCTTCCTTCTCAGTTTGTACAGCAATCTTGCCATCTTTCTCTTCTAATCGGAGAGCAAGGACTGCTTTATGTGTCTCTGGAACTTTCACTGAGCTTCTGGATGCTTGTGATAAATCTTTCTCCTGATTATTGCCAGAGAGACTTTCATAATTGGGCTCACTTTCCTTCATGTCCTTAGAATCTCCTGGGTTACCAGGAGATACTCCCCCATTACAAATCTTCTGGGATATACTACTGGCTGTCTCTGAACGTGATTCTTCTGTTAAAGAAGATTCTGGTGATGTGGAGTCAGATGACACCATGCTCTGAATACTTCCTGGTACATAGGAGACCACGGAATTCTCTTCATAACCATTCAGGATTTCATCATAACTGTCATCATAATCTACAGCACAGATTCTCTGCAGAGACTTATTTCGTAGAGGAACAGTATTCCATTTTTTGTCCACACAGAATCGAACAGGAGATAAAGTGTTTGCCCTAAAGTTTGCGAAGCGAGGTTGCCCTCTCATGCGAATCTCCATGGCCAACAGCTCTTCATCACTCTCATCCCAGCTCTCATGCTCCTCCTCCATGTTACTGAAAAGTTCATCTTCCTCACTCTCCTCACCACTAGAAAACTCTGGGTAACAGAACCGGCCCCCTTCATTACTGATCACTTCTGTGCTCCCACTCAGAATAACGTGCTTGCCCTGAGTATCCTTCATCCCACCCATCATGCAACTTGGTGGAAGCTTTCTTTCCAATGATCGTTTATAGCAATCATTTATTCTTTCTAAGAATGTTTCTCTAGAGTTTGTTTCATTTCCTCTTATCTGAGGAGTAGTATCCAAGCCTGCTATCTCCTTCAACACTTCAGTTAGTCCATTATTGTTATTTGGTATCTTCTTTGCACTATCATTATTGTCATAAGGTTTAGGAACACGGCTAAATCCTTCGATATCCTCTTCATTATTATTATTAAGTGGTTTCTGAGTCAAGGCTGTCCTGTTTTGGTTTCTCCCTATGATGACAGGTTTGTTCTCACTGTGTTCTTGGATACTAAGCTCACCACATATACTTTGCCCATCTGCTACCATCATAGTGGGCTTCACAGCTATAGTGGGTTTTTTAGCCACAGGAGGCCGGAAGTTTCCGGTGTTCCTGATGCGGTGGTTGTTACTGTGATTGGCATTAGTTTTCACATTGCCATGGGTGATGGGTGCCTTCTCAGGGTCTGGGGGAAACTGGTGCAAGCTTTTAGGTTTAAAGCAGTTCTTGCATTCTCCAGGTTTCCAAACGTGTTCAGTAAAGGTGCTACAAGCAGACATTTTTTAAAATAGAACTTCATAAACAATGCTTTCCTTTCAGTGCATGGCAATACTTTCATCCGTTAGTTTTCACCTCCCCTATGTATCACAGCAGCTCTTGTTAAATGTGATCAACCTGTGGGGGATAGGGAGGGGAAAGGAAGAAAATCTGAATGCAAAAGGCACTATGAGGCTTTTCATGATGAATAGCTTGATAAAATTGGCCCTGTTCCTTAAATTAAAAGATTGAGAGAAAAACTAATTTGAATACATTCTGAACTCCCTTTAGCCAATCAGCACTTTAGAAAGTTAGTTTTTTAACCATAATTTTATGCATTGTTCTGGAACCATATCTAATCCTTCAGTTGATGTCTCTGGCAATGATACTGTGACTTTCCCCCCGGAAATGCCTTTGAAACTGCTCTGTTATCTACCAATCTGACATTTCTTAGGCCACTGTGGGTTCTTCTTCTACCCTCTCTATATATTTTGAATATCTCATAGACTCCTCAAACTCAATGCATTAAAAACTAATCCTCTAACTACCTCTTTCCTCAAGTTCAAGAAACTATTTTACTCTATCCCTCCTCTACTCCCCAGACCCCTTCTTACTCTTGTCTTTTATCCTAGTTCAGTTAATGTCACTATCATTCACCTCAATTGTTAAGCTTCAACCTTTAGACCATTCTTGACACCTCTCCCCTCACTTCAAACTCCACATCTTACTAACTCCCTAGTCTTGCCAATTTTATTTATTACATTTCACTAGAACTCGTTCTTGCCATTACCAGACACGGAATAATTCAAATATTCACCATCTGTTGCCTAGATTCCTGCAATAAACTGATAACTGATCTTCGCATCTGTAGTCTCACCCCATTCCAATCTAACCTCTCTACACTTGTCAGTCAAGGTGTAGTCAGTTAAGCATTATCAATCTAATCTGGGAGCTTGTTAGAAAGGCAGTATCTTAGGGTCAATCCCAGAGTTACTGGATTAGAATCCACATTTTAATGAGATTCTCAGGTGATTCCAACTATTCTATACTACCACCAAATTTTACTTTCTAAAATGCTAATATGATCATCTTCTTATCTAGCTTAATTATTCTGTGGTTTAATCTTACTAAATGTCAGTGTGCAGACTGCAGGTTGCTAGCGAAATAAGAACCACCTAGGAAACCACCCTAGATGTACCGAGTCAATCTCTGAGGGATCAGTCCAGGAATCTGATTTTTTACAACAAATTCTCCAGGTAATTCCTTGAGCATTGAGGTAGTGGAACCTCTGAGTTATAGTATGGAATACAAGCCCCTTAGCTTTCATGATATGGTCCTTGCCTCCCTTCTAGCATATGTCTTGAAAATCAGGTAGCCTTAAACTCTAGATTCCACTGGGCTACTCCATGGCACTATCAAAGCCATTCAGACATATCTCGATGAACAAGCACTTTCATTTTTTAATTGTCTGTTTCCTCACTTAAAGAAGTTTTTGAGTTTCTTTAAGGCCTGGGCTACATCTTATTCATCTTTACATGTCTAGTATAATACGGTGAATAAACACTGGTTGATTAAATGTGCTGGTTTTAAGGTTTATCTTTTTAAAAATAAATCTTGTGGCTCTCTCTCATCTTAGGGACATAGCTGCAGATCTTCCCACAGAACATCACTACAGTCTTCCATTTCTACATTGGATATTATAATAAAGTTGGCAGTAGGCATGTACATGTAAGAACTATTTTCATAAATGGAAAGGTTAACTCTATTCCTGTACAATGACAGTGACAGGATCCTTGCTTTGGTCAGAAACCCAGAGTTTTTGCCAAGTTTCAACATGCTTATAAAGAAGAAAAATATATTCTCTTAAAAAAATATATACACAGACTGACATCAGAAACGTAGCAGAGAGATGCCCCCAGACCTATCCCCTTGAAACAACAATAAGCTGAACATCCAAAAATCAACGAAAAACAGCCAAACTTCCAGGACGTCAGAGCATGGCATCTGAGCATAAAAGATACCACAGGTCAGAACCCCAGTGTCAGGCAGTGGACTGGGAGAAACAAAGAAGCTGCCTCTCACAGCCGGAACTCCCTGTAGGAGGAGGGTGAGGGGATAAAGTGTGGTGAGTTCCCTGAACAGCTCTGCCTAGGAGAACTGTGAGCTCCCTGTGGCCAGAGGCAGTGCCAGGTCATCAGGTCAGAAAGCAGAGAAACGGGGACGGCAGAAAAGTAGGAATGGAAGATAAACAACAGTTGATTTTTACCCACCATGGTTTCAAAACCAAGGCCCTTCCCCCCATAGACTCCAAGCCCGAAAACTGTGAAACCCCAGAAGAAACACTACAGAAACTAACACTAACAACTGACTGGAACTGAGACTGCGAGTAGCAAGTGTGATTAAATATCTATAAGAGAAAAAAAGACATTATTAAGACTTTATATAAAGTATAGATCCAAGAGGCTTAGACGCCACCTACTAAAAGAAAAGCGCTTTCCTTGAAACAGACTAGGGCCCATTATATAATATTCTTTCTGGGGGGGAAAAAAAAAAGCAGAATACACTTCCATTAATGTCCAGGCAAAGAAACAGTCCATTAAACACTATGAACGAACAATCAAGGCGACAAAGCATCTAAGAAAGAAAGAGAAAAGTCTCCAGATAATAAGCTTAGAGATATAGAAATATGCGACTTAAATGATAGAGATTCAGGATGGTACTTCTGAAAAAACTCAATGAGATCCAAAATGAATCATATCAACAATTTCAGGAATTAAAAAATGACTAGATGAGCAGAATGAGTTCTTTAGCAAGGAGATTTAACACCCCTGCCCCCCAAATCTAAGGAATGAGCTGGAGCTTGAAATTCAAGAAGTCAACAGAACACCCAATTATCTCAACCCAAAAAGGCCTTCACCAAGACACACTGTATTAAAGTTATCAAAAATCAATGACAAAGATAGAATTCTCAAGGCAGCCAGGGAGAAGAAAACAGTAACGTATAAAGGAAATCCATTAGATTATCATCAGACTTCTCAGTGCAGACCTTAAAAGCCAGAAAGGAATGGAATCAAATATTTAAACTATCACGTGAAAGTAACTACCAGCCAAGAATAATGTATCCAGCTAAGCTCGCCTTTAGATATGAAGGAGAAATAAAGACCTTTTCAGACATACAAAAACTTAGGAATTTCTCCACTATGAGGCCTGTACTACAGGAAATACTGAAAGAGATCAGCTCACCTAAAACAAAATGACAAACAAACAAACAAACAAACAAACAAAAACCCACCACTACAACCAACAATAACAAAAAAAAACATAATTAGGAGTAAAGAGACTAGCAGGCTGATAGAAGCAGAGGAGTGCAACCCTTACTAGGACCAGGCCATTATAAGCTTAAAATAAGAAGAGATTTGCTATAGCAAGATAGTAATGAACATTCAGCATATATAGGGACAAAATGAGACAACAATGACTGAAAAGGGGAGGATTCAAAGATCCAAATTCACAAAGGAGAATGGAGATAAGGCACAGGCAGAAGAAAAGGAACTACTATATATATATAACTATCCTTTTCATATTCATAGTGGTAACCACAGGGCAAAGATTTAGAATGGAAGTATATAACATAAAACAAGAAGGCCAAGAGGGAAAATCCACAAAAGCCAACCAAAATAAAGAAAACAGAAACACATAAAAAGGAAGCAATGGAAACATCGAGCTACCAGAAAGCAAAAGATAAAATGGCTATAAGCAGATTTCATATTGCAATAATCAACCTAAATATAAATGAACTGAACTCACCAATAAAAAGACAAAGAGTTGCAGAATGGATCAAAAAAGAAAACCCAACCATATGCTGCCTCCAGGAGACACATCTCAGTTCCAAAGACAAATAGAGACTCAAAGCGAAAGGGTAGAAAATGATATTTCCAGCAAATGGCATTCAGAGAAAAGCAGGAGTTGGGTACTAATATTGGAAAAAATAGACTTCAATATCAAAAAGGTACAGAAAGATACTGAGGGACACTTCATAATGATAAAGACATATAACACTTATTAATATCTATGCTCCGAGTGTTATATACCAAGAAGACATAACACTTATTAATATCTATGCTCCCAATCAGGAAGCCCCAAAATAAAGCAAATACTAACAGAACTAAAGAGAGAAACAGACTAAAACACCATCGTAGTAGGGGACCTAAATACCCCACTGTCGGATATGGACAGCTCATCCAAACAGAAAATCAATAAGGAAATAACATCCTTAAATGACACATTAGACAAACTGGAAATAATTGACATTTACAGAGCCTTCCATCCCAAAACAGCTGCTTATATATTCTTCTCTAGTGCACATGGAACATTCTCAAGGACTGACCACATACTGGGACACAGAGATAGCCTCAACAAATATAAGAGGGTTGAAATCATACCAACCATATCCTCTGATCATAACTTATTGATAAAGGCCTATCTCCAAAAACAAGAACGAGCCCAAATAAACAACCTAACGCTTCATCTTAAAAAACTAGAAATGGAAGAACAAATGAAGCCTAAAGTCGGCAGAAGGAAAGATATAACCAAAATTAGAGCAGAACTAAAGGAAATTGAAAACAAAAAAAATAGTAGAAAAAACAAATGCAACAAAGAGCTGGTTCTTTGAGAAGGATAATAAAATTGGCAAACCCCTGGCTAGACTCACTAAAGAAAGAGAAAAGACACAAATAAAATCAGGGATGAAAGAGGGGAAATTACGACAGACACTGCAGAAATACAAAGGATCTTAAAAAGAATACTATGAAACAGTATATAACACCTAATTTAATAACCTAGAGGAAATGGACCAGTACTTAGAAAAATACAACCTTCGTAGACTGAATCAAGAAGAACTCGACAATCTGAATAGATCTATCAGCCATATAAAAATTGAAACAATCATCAAAAAACCTACCAAAAAGTAAAAGTCCAGGACCAGATGGCTTCACCAGTGAATTCTACCAAACATTCAAAGAAGACTTAATATCTACTCTCCTCAAACTCTTCCAAAAAATCGAAGAGGAGGCAATACTTCCAACTCATTTTATGAGGCCAATATTACCCTCATACCAAAACCTAGTAAAGATAACAGA